CCTCTAAGCTCAGACTCTCTGAGCGGTGTTGGTAGTCACCATCACTGTGTCTCGTGAAGCAGGACACACAGGTGACAGCCACTCTGTGTAGTCATTTACTGTGTGCAAAGGGACAACTGCAGATTCCTGACCAGGTCCAGGAAACATGCCACAAAGGTTTTGTTTTGTTTAATTTAATGCTTTTGGGGCCATTGTTATGGTGTAGCTGGTAAAGCAACCACCTGTGATGCCAGTATCCCATATGGGCACTGATTTGGGTCCTGACTGCTCTACTTCTAATTCAGCACCCTGCTAATGGCATGGGAAGGGCAGCTGAGGATGGCCCAAGTGTTTGGGCCCCTGCCACTCACCTGGGAGACCCAGACCAAGCTCCCAGCTCCAGGCTTCATTGTGGCCATCCAGGGAGTGAACCAGCAGATGAAAGATCTCTCTATATATCTCCTTCTCTGTAACTCTGACTTTCAAATAAATAAAGAATTCTTAAGAGAAAGGAAGTTTTAATAAAGCCCTATGCAAGGAATCCTTTTAAAAAATTAATCTTTTTCCTGCCTTTTTAAAAAATTTATTTGATAGGCAGTGACAGAGCTCCCATCTACTGGTTCACTCCCCAGATGTCCACAACTGCTTGAACTGAGACCAGACCAGGCCAAAGCTGAGCGCCCAAACCAGGTCTCCCACATGGGTGGCAGGGACCCAGGTACTTGAGCCATCACCACTGCCTCCCATGATCTGCATTAGCAGAAAGCTGGAGTCAGGAATCAGAGTCTGGTATCAAACCCAGGTACTCCAAAGTGGGAATCCCAACCAGTATCCTAACCACCAGGCTAAAGGCCCACCCCAAGAGTTTTGAATGCACATCACAAACTTCCTGAGATTGTATGGGAAATTATGTGTTTATGTTCATAAATCTTTTTCTCTTGTGAGAGAGTCTATGGTTTACATGAAATTCTGAAATGTTTTCATGGTCCTAAAAATGTTAAACAGCAACAAAAGCCACTTATTTGGAGATTTTCCACATACTTATAAGTTAAAGTTTGTGTTTAGATAAGCTAGGGGGTGTTTTTATGTTCCTTCAATTTCCAGGTGTGGGCTACAGCTTGGGGTGGTCAAAGAACTAACTCTGTTAGAACCCTGGACTGTACTTCTGGCCTGGACACTGCTACTTATATATCCTAGAGGGTTCACATAGCCTTTCTGAGCTTCACTTTCTTTTTCATCTTTGAATTTAGGTTTATAATGCCCTCTTGCCCTGCAGGAATATCACATAGTAAAGAGATTATAGGTGTGCAGGCACTTTTTTAATTGCCATGAGCTATACACTTGTGAGACTCAAATACTACTATTACAAGTGTGTCTTTTATCACACAGGGCAGAGAATACAGTGGGCAGTCACTACTTAGGTGGTTAAAATGGACAGGGAACTGGTTTATTATAGTGAGAGGACTGGAGCTTTAAGTACACCAGTGGTGTGTGTGTTTCTTGCAGATTCTGTGGACGCCCATATTCAGGTCCAGAGCACAGCTAGTGCCATTGAGGAACTCATTTTGCAAGAGTGTGAAAAGTAAAAACGAGCTTCGTGACCCTGAGTTCATGTGCTTTGTTTTACAGAAGGATGTGAGATTTAGAGAAGACAGAGGCTGTCCTTGTTTGAGACGGTTTCAGGCTTCACCTCATCATGTTTAATAGAATCCACAGAAAGAACTTCTTTGCTTTCATATCAACTTATTGTCTTACCTTTTAGAAGCATTACAGAATTCACCTCATGGTCTTAATTATCTTGAGTGGGGCCACTTAGAGGCCTGCACTTCCCAGAATATGCTGCTGCTAGACCAGACACAGGCCTGGTATGTTACAAAACCTTGCCCTGTTTGGCTGTCTGTACATGTGGGCTCTGCACATGTAAGCTCAACCAACTGCAGTCCTCAAATACGCCGGTAAAAGACTACATTTGTCTCAAACGTGTACAGATACTTTCTTGTTGTCATTATTCCCTAAACAATGCAGTATAACAACTACTTGCATAGCATTTACCTTGTTTTAGGTCTTACAGATAATTTAGAGAGGACTTACAGTATATGCAAATATGACACAATCTTGTATAAGGGACTTGAACATTCACTGAGCTTGGTAACCACAGGGAGGCCCAGAACCTGTGCCCTCCAGACACTGAGAGACAAGGGTATTTCTTTTGGAGTGTCCTCCACATCACTTCAGAGTCCTGGGGGTGAATTATTGCCAGTTCTGTTACCTGGACTGACTCAGAGAGCTAACTCTGATTTGTCCAGGTCACAAAACTCAGTCTCCAAAGCAGAATGAACACCCAGGTGCTCTAATTTTTTATCCTTAAAACCACTAGATTCTAAAGTGTCTTATTGGACCCTCTTCGTGCCCTAGTAACTGATGACAAAAGTAGCTGGAGTTTTTTTTGTTTGTTTGTTTTTTGCTCAATGTACATATATAATACACAAAGGGTTTTCAAAAATGTTATGAAAAAATGTGTTACATATAATAAAAGAAAAAACTTGCACCAAAATAAGCTTATCTTTTAATTTCATTTTGTTGTGAACTTTTGGAAGGCCCCAAGAGAGAGAAAGAGAGTGTTTATAAATTTGACTGTAATCTATCCTTCCATTTAAACAGTTTGTAGTAGAAAGGAGTTTGAAATTACATTTAATCATTGCTTGATAATGAATGTTACTTAAGTATCATTTTAAAAAGCCGCTTTTCTCTCTCTCTCTCTCTCTCTTTTTTTGGTAGTTGCATTACTTTTTGTAAGATGTTTTGTTTGTGATGTTTTGCACCTGGTTGTGTGCATTTGGAAAGTACCCTACCCTAGAATATCTGAAAGCAAAAAAGTCCAGCCCTTTTCCCACTTTCCGTTCTTTCTGCTGTATGGATGCCAGATTCCTCTGGGAAATCATCATTTGCAAGAGGTCAGGAGCAAAAGGAGGGGCATTCTTTAGTGTACAGTTACTGCTAATTGGAAACTAAACATCTGTAACTATGTCAGAGTTATTTGTATTTGAAAAGAAACATTTATATACAAGAGCCTTTTCAGTAACATAAAACACTGTAAGGCAGAGTGTGTGTATGTATGTATGTGTGTGTATGTATGTGTGTGATATAGAGGGGTGGAGGACAGACAGCCGGGGAAGCTTCCGACAGATGCCTGCTGTGCTGAGTGAGATCATTTGCTGATTAAATCGCTAAGCATTTCAGAGTATTTCCTTTGTCAGATGAAATTTTCTTCCCACCCTACCCCAAACCCCTGCAGACCAAAGCAAATGTTTTACTGTGTTTACCAATTACCCATTAAATATTTAATCACGTTAAAGGAAAACTATGCGAGAAAATGTGTGAGTTGATGGAACCTAGTCAAAAAACAGTGGAAACTGCCCAGCCACCTACTGGAACCCTGGCCCTTTTTGTAGTGTGATGTGTCTTCCCACAGAAGGACGTGAAGTGAGCGCTTCTCCATCCTGAAACTACCCATCATTGGTGAAGCTCCCCTCTTGGGAGAAAAGTGACAGTGTCCTCACTTTAACCCTCTAACCCTCCTTCTCCCCACATCCCCTCCTCCCTGCCACTCTCGAGGTGAAATTCCCAGGTGATTGCATTTGTACAGAAATTGTATTTGTATTATCATGTTAGATGGACACTTCTGGGGTGTAACAGTTTGGTCATAGAACTCTATCCTTCTATGTGCTAAGCTTTCATAGACACATGGCCCAGATCAAACCAATGATTTCCTCTTGGACCACTGATTAATTTTGAAAATGGTCAAGAAGCTCTCTCTTCTCCCTGTAGAATTTACCTTCTTTTGATCTTCTCTATCCTAGTTTTGACATCTTAAGACATTTCCATCTGTTGCGTTACTATTTTAATTGGATATAATATCATGAGGTATTGAAAGTTGTGATCAAGAACTTATTTAGCCAGCACTTACCATATTGGCTTTTGCTCTCAGTCAGTCTTCTGTATGTGAAGGCTCCTAAGTGGACAGTTTGAACAAAATGGTTGTAGCTTCTCAGGTTCTGAGTCTTTAGAAACTTCAGATGCCCTTAGATGACCTGCCTTTCTGATGACCTTTGCATAATCTCAAAATACCACTTATCCATGGGTAGGAGTCCAGAAGCAAGGATTGAGGAGTTGGAGGTCCATTTCTCATCCTGTTTCAGTAAGTTCAAACCATGTAGTCTGCCATTTGTGGCACTCTGCAGTATGGCTTGACCCACTTTCCTGTCTTAGCTTCTGCTCTAATTCATAAGCCTTTACTTTAGCCACACACATCTCCCTATACCTTTATTCCTCGAGCATTTCTACCCTTGCTTTGTGCCTCTGTCCTTGGTTGAGACAATTTCCTGGCTTCTCTCAGCCTGCTTGAGCCCCATCTTTCCACGTCTGACTTCCTAGAGCTGTAATGTCAAGAGCACCTGCTTATCATTTTCCCCACACTATGTTGTAGAGAAAAGTACATTTTCAAATGTACTTTTCATCTTGCCAACCACAGCGTGGACTGCTTACAGCCAGTCGTGACTATTTGACTCTTGGCACTTATCACAGTGCTTTTACTCATTGTGAAGTGCCCAATGGATAGTTGTTTGATTATTAAGGGTAAGCCCCTCCCTTCCTCCCTTCCTCCCTCCCTCCCTCCCTCCCTCCCTCTTTTTTTTTTTTTTTTTTTTTGCTACTACCTATCTGTTGTCTTATTCCCATAGCTTATCTACATGTAATCCCTATGAATAGAATTATATATACTGATGATGTTTTGACAAAAGCAAATTCACCTGTAGAGCTAATGCAAATATGAGTACAAAGGAATGTCATTTGAAATAAGGGAAATATTTATTAAGAAAAAAATCTTTGAAATAAGGAACAGCTCCTGACCTTTGTTCCCCTAGATTTAATATTCCAGCCTGAGCTAAATAGAACATCAATGTATACAAATACACAGATGTGGAGATGAGTATTGAAAAGTCTTGTGTTCTGTTTCTTCCTAGGTGTGGTCACTCACCTGTCTACCGCTCCCGTGAAATGGCAGCTCGTGCCTTGGTCCCATTTGTTATGCTAGATCAAATTCCTAAGACCATCCAAACTCTATTGGCCACACTCCCCAACTGCACTGACCAATGTTTCCGGCAGAACCATATTCATGGGACACTTCTCCAGGTAGGTAAAGTTACTTTGTGGGACTTCTGTCAAATACCATAAGATGAACTTTCATATCTCATGTACTGTTTGATACTTAGGCTTTTACCTTTACCAGTAGAATTTTTTCTACTGCTGAAAGATCAGATATTTCCTTAAGCATGCTTTTGTCATACCGAACACTGTGTTACTCTGTGATTCTGTCACATTGTCTTTTACATTGAATCTTGTGTTTTCGACGATATACTTTCTCATTTAAACTCACCTTTCTGAACCATCTAGAGTTTCTCTTTTCCATCAAATATGTCTACAGAACATTCTGGGCCACTCCCTGTTCAGGGTGAAGCTAAGAGTATTCCTAGACAGAGAAGTTGGCCCAAGAGGCACAAGGAAAATTATACACGAGGCAGAGTATGCCTTGTAGCAAATCTGTACCTCCTGTCTCCTCTGTAGGGCAGAAGAAACTTTATTTTGAATAAGTATATAAATTTTTTTCGTTATTTTTAACATAATACTTCTTTTAGAAAAGACTAAAGCATGGCTGGTGCCGCGGCTCACTAGGCTAATCCTCCGCCTAGCGGCGCCAGCACACAGGGTTCTAGTCCTGGTCAGGGCGCCAGATTCTGTCCCGGTTGCCCCTCTTCCAGGCCAGCTCTCTGCTGTGGCCAGGGAGTGCAGTGGAGGATGGCCCAAGTGCTTGGGCCCTGCACCCAAGGAAGACCTTTCTCTCTCTGTCTCTCTCTCTCTCTCACTGTCCACTCTGCCTGTCAAAAAAAAAAAAAAAAAAAGAGAGAGAGAGAGACTAAAGCACAACAGATTGACTCCTTATTGAAACTGCTCTATTTAAGTCTTTCCTTGGGGACAGGTAGTGTTGGTGATAGCTTTTGTCCACATGGCTGTTGTGGTCACTCATAATAGGCCCAGGACTAGAGGTGGGATTTAAATGTCAAGTCATGTTCCTGGTCCATGAGCAGAACTGAGAGGTGGCCTTGAGGCCCCAGTTCATGTGGTTAGTTTGAGGTCTGTACTGCTGCCCTACGAGGCGATCTGTAGAGTGGTTCATGGCCTGGGACTCAGAGCCGGACTGCCTGGATAGGAACCTCAGACTCACCCCACACTGCCTGCTCATCAGTGTCTTCATTTTTGAAATGCAGATAATAGTAACGTATACCTCAAAGAGATTCTGCGAAGAGTAAATGAATGCATTTGGAATGGTTAGGATAGTGTCTAGTACATAATGATATACAGACAGTTCTTAGTGCTGTTATGCTTATACTTTGAGTGAGCCTATACTACAATGAAAAGTAATGTGGTTAGTAATTAATTTCCCCTAGGTAAGATTATAATATCAACCTATCATCATTCTTCCTTGGCTGTTTTATACATTCAACAAGTATTTATTGTATGACTGCTATGTACATTTGTGTCACCATCAGAACCATGACTGAGTCAGTCCCTGTGAAGGGGGCTGATGACAAAAGACGACCAAAGATAAGCAGTTGCAGCTCAGTGTGTTAAGTGCCACGTGAGCCCCAGGCAAGACTACCTGGCTTATCTTGGGGAAGTCAGGCAAAGTCCCAGAAAAAGTGCCATCTAAGCAGATACTGAAGGATGGTAGCCGGGTGAAGGAGAGAAAGAGTCCGCAAGGCAGAGTGAGCAGCAGGGAGGGAGACTCCTGGTGGGCAGGAAGTCAGCCCCATCTGGGAATTGCGGGTTGAGTGCACTAAAGTTCTAGGTTGGTGGTTCTCAGATTGGCCTTAGGACCTTTTCACACTCTCAAAAGTTATTGAATGTTCCAAAGAGCTTTTATCTGTCCGTGTCTAACTAGAGAATAGAACTAAGAACTTAGGAAAACACAAGAACTCACAGCATGTATTCCATTAGCCATCAGAGTGTTGACGTCATCACACACCTTGAAGCTTCTGGTAGACTCCACTGTGTACTCATGAGAGCGAAGAGCGAAAACAAAGGAGGGAATTAACATCTTCACATCATTATGAAAATAGTTTGATCCAGCCGGCGCCACGGCTCACTAGGCTAATCCTCCGCCTAGCGGCCCCGGCATACCAGGTTCTAGTCCTGGTCGGGGCGCCGGATTCTTTCCCGGTTGCCCCTCTTCCAGGCCAGCTCTCTGCTGTGGCCAGGGAGTGCAGTGGAGGATGGCCCAAGTACTTGGGCCCTGCACCCCATGGGAGACCAGGAGAAGCACCTGGCTCCTGCCATCGGATCAGCGCGGTGCACCGGCCGCAGCTCGCCAGCCGCGGTGGCCATTGGAGGGTGAACCAACGGCAAAGGAAGACCTTTCTCTCTGTCTCTCTCTCTCACTGTCCACTCTGCCTGTCAAAATAAATAAATAAATAAATAAAAAAGAAAATAGTTTGATCCTGTAGACCTGCTGAAAAGATTGCACCAACCTGTGAGGGTCCCAGACTGTACTCTGAGATCCTCTGGTCTGTGTCTCACTCCCTGTGGGGTCTTTGATGGTTTCTTAAGCAGTCATGTCCTCTAAGTCCTCACTATGTCCCTGTGATGAGGAGAAGGGCAGGGGTTTTGTCTTAGTTTCAAAGATGGGCCACTGAAGCCCACAGTGACCATTTGCTCAAACAACTTCAGTCTTTTGCTGCTGCCACACTCCGCTGCCTCTTTGAGGAGGGGCAGACACTAATGAGTAATGCAGAACAGGCTTGTCAGAGTGTGGGCTGCAGCTGAGTCCGAAGCAAGGCCGAGCGGCAAGGCGATCAGCCGTCAGGTTTCCTTTGCTGGAGATTCCGTCTCGTCCTTTGACCAGCTGTACAATGGGCCTCCCAGCCTGGTTTCTCACACCTGCCCCTGGCGGATCTGGCCTGTTCCAGACTGTTCCACCAGTCTGCCCAGCCATAACACATGGTCCGTGGAGCTGTCTCAGGGCTGCCTTTAACGTGCTCAGATTTGCTTTTTCCCCTGGGTAGACTGTGAAGCCCGGTGGACAGGTGAAAGCCCACTAAGCCCGGGGCCACTGCTCCTCGGCATGGGTGGGACGAAAGGCCTGCTGAGAAAGTCAGTCAGTCGTGTGCTGGTCACCAGATTCCTGTCTTTAGCCAGGTCAGTCCACACTGGCTGGAGAAAAGGTGGCAGCGGCAGGTGACAGGCCTGTCGTGTCCACTCGGGCGCCAGGTCTGGGTTGTAATGGTGCTTTGGCACCCTGTGGTTCTTCGAGAGGAAAGCACAAGGGGTTAAGTTGGGAAGGACTCTGTCTCTTTCCTTTCTACAGCTTAGGGGTTCCTACTCAGCATAAAGCTACCTTTGAAATCAGTCAAAGGCATGCACCTGGAAAAGATGGTGGAGGCTGAAAGGAATGATAATCTCCATGGGACCTTCAGAGCCAGCTAAGTAAATATCAAATTGTTATGTTTTTTTCAAAAGCAGGAAATCTTTTTGTAATCAGAAAACAAATTCTTTCACAGAACATTTTCTTGAATTATACATTTTGACTTCTCTGAAAATGTTTACATAAATATATCAAACCTCAAAGTCTTTCTATAGTGTACCTTGAAAAGAAGAAATGTGCTGATCTCCGACTTTTCTCAGACCAGGGAAGAAAGATTCAGATTACAGGACATGCAAAAAAAAGAAAAAAAGAAAGAAAAGAAAAAACATGTGGGATTCGTTTCTTAATCGTTTTTAAAAACAGAGGCTGACAATTGCAGTGTTGAAATGGATGGGGGTAATGCACATTAGAAAAGGTGAGATTATACAGCAGGTTCATAAGAGCCGGGAGTAAATGACATTAACTCTCCATAAAGGCTAGAGAAGAGCCACGGACATGACCTCATTTGGGAACAGCACTGGCAGCGCTGCCCTGTCTTTGAAGTAGAATTAGCCGTCTGTTTTTGTGGCCAAAATTCTTCCTGTTGGGGACTTAGCCTCATTGCTAGGTTACTTGTCAGTCCTGAGAAATTGTACTGGAGTTCAGAAAGTGCTGTGTGGAGGGAGAGTGTGGCCAACAGTGATGGGAAAGCTTGATTCTGATCGTGGTACTTAATTCACACTTTGAAGTGTCATAAAGAAATGTTTCCCATTTGAAATAAGAGTTTGAATCTTGAGGTTTTTTTTCATTTCCTGTCTCTTTTGGCTATTTTTTCTGATGGTGTAATTACATTAAAGGTGATCCCTGCCCTTTCTTGAATTAAGCTCTTTTGTACAGATAAAGGGAAGTAGACCGTTGTGTTAAAGTAGAAGAACCAGTTTTGCATTTATCTGGCTCTTCTAGGCAAAAGCTCCTTTTATTCTTCAATGAATCCAAATAATTACTCCGCTTCCACACATCTCTTTAATGCTCCAGTCTACACTCTTCTCCTAATTCTGCTGTGGGCGCTTCTCATTTACCAGCGGGACCTTTTGAATACTTTAGTATTTTTGTGTTTTTCCTCCAGTTTGGAGCCTTAATTTCTGAACTTTGAGAATTTGAGTTAAAATCACTTTGTTGGCCGTGAAGCTGAACATCAGTGCTGCTACTTGGTTGACAGGAAATATTCACTGGGGGTGTCTTCCCAGGGCCAGGTCCACACATCTGCAAAGTTTACCATAAGAGAAGTAAAATGAATATTTCAGTCCCTCGTGCAGTCCATTTGAATCCTATGTGTGATTTCATTTTAATTCCCTTAGCAGACAAGCAGGGGAGCAAGATGGGTGTGATACTCTGTGTGTGTGTGTCGGGGAGGTGGGGCTCTGTCTCTAACAGGAAACTGTGGTGAGCCTGAGAGGGTAAGATACTAAGCTCACAAGCCTGTCTTTTTTCTGTAGAACCTGTTGCTTCTCTGATAGTTGATGTGAAGAACAATTTTTTATGGCTAGGGAAACCAAACAAAGAATCTATCGCTGCTCCTTTTTACGTTCTCGTTCAGTTGATCTTAAGTCTGATTGGATTTGATTGGATTTGGAAGCAGAGTAAGTCCATCAGCCCTATAGAGATGGACAGAAGAAGGCAGTGAAACACAGAGAAGCCACAGTGGGTGAAAGACTTCCTGTCTGTCAGCACTTAA